CAGAAATTTACTGTCACGTTTTTATTCGGTAATGAATACATTTTATAATATATCTATTGGGACTATATTACAATAAAATCAATACTAAATTTTGATTTTCAAAGTAAAAATTTGGAAAATTCTATTGAAGAATATAAGAAATAAACAGCTTTTTGCAGGTACAAAGAATGGTAATAATTTGATTTCTATGAAATCTACTAATAAATATTATAAAAAATATCAAAATTTACAACTTAATAGAAATTTATATTACAACGATAAAAAATTTAGAGAAAACCGGTGACGTTAGCCAAGTCGTCTAAGGCGCATGGCTTATAGAAGACTCGGACTAACTTACCGGCCAGGCGTGGGTTCGAATCCCAAGCTGGTCTTAGAAACCAACTTGGTTGATATTCGGCCCTTGCCGCGTAGTTTAAGATTTACACAACCCAAAAAGACCCCAACGTACCACTCCCAACAGTTAAAGTCGGCGATATGACCACAGCAGTTAAAACCGACTCTAAATAATAATTAATAAAAAAAAAAAAAAAAAAAAAAAAAAAATGAGAAATTCGACATATTTTCACGTTCAAAAGTTGCTTGGAAAAGAACTATTGAAAATATGAATTTTTTAATTATAAATTGCTGTCATTTCTAAATTAACTGTGACTTTAATCATTCTCTGGACAACATATATGCCAAGTTTCATAGCAAAATAACAAAATTTTTTGAAACCTTTGTCATAAGTACAAATAGTTCTTTTAAATCTATTAAAAGTGAAATTAGTTTCAAACATAAGATCTATAATTAAATCAGCATAATTAAAGTAGATTTCAAATGACTTTTTATAAAGCTTATAAATAATGCACTTATTACAAAAACAAAAATATCAAAAGGCACACATGTGAAAATTAAAAAAAAATTTTTTAGTGACATTTTTTTAATTATTTATTCCCATTAACAAGTTCAAACTTACGAAATTTTAAAAACTCATACATTAATTTAATTTATAATTTTAAATTCACCTAAAATATAGTTTAGCAATTGGACCTTATGTAAAATTTCCATACATTTAAGATAAAATATTAACGAAGTATCATAATAATAAAAATAAAGATAAAAAATTGAATTCTGTAAAAATATCATCTATTTTCTGCTAACGTAACAAAACTACGGAATTTTTCCGTGTAAGAGCATTAACAGTCTTTCCAGAAGTGATCAAGTCTTATATGAGCTTACAATCATCAGCAGCAATCGTAACTATCATTAACTAGGAACCGATAAACCAAGCTAAGTATAAAATGGCGACTATCATTACGAATCTCTTGATGCTTTAATGTTAATGTTCAATCTATCCTCTTTCGCTGGTACACTTTTCAGGAGTATAATATATGAAGTTATGTCTACTGGAACTATCAGGAACGGCACGCGCATCAGTAAGATCTCATACTAAGTACTCAGTATTGGCGCCCACATCTAGCACTATATTTAGCACAAATTGTCGACAGCGAGTTTCACCGTGATTATTTAAACTTCTATCCGAGGATATAGCAAGCGTGAACAAGAAAGTAATTGCGTCCGTTTTACAGGTAACATGAAAGATGAATCGGGAGTGGCTTTGGGACTGAGATTTTCATCTCGAGGTTTTTTCTATGGGAATGAAACAAAACTAATCCACTGGAGAAATGATTATGGTGTTGGTGATGATAATGATGATACCAAGTGAGAGCGCGTTAAATTACCCATGATCTTACGGCCTTGAAGAAGGTCGGCAAGGCGTTGGCATTACTCGAGGACACTTTTAAGCATTACAGTTTTATCGTTCTTCAATAAATCTATTTTTTAATTAAATCCTTCTGCTTGGATTTTTCCTCCGACGTCTTGAGGTCATACTGCAGATAAACGACCCATAAAATGTGGCCTTTAAATCATCGCGAGGCATTAATTTTTAAACATTGATACAGCACTGAATTTATGTCCCGGTTTTCATTGTACCATGAATTCAAAAGTTGAGAAGCGTCAAGAATTTTGGCCTTGGAGATTTTGCAAACGCAAAATTATTGAAGCAGCTCATTGGAGATGCTACGCGCGAAGGATCGTTGGAGACAAAACCAGAAAGCTGCATGCCTAAGTTGTGATTTGTGTTACATATGTTTCCAAGTTAAAGTGAATAATATCAGTAGTTCGTTGGCTTGATCGCAGATCCATTACTCGCGATTTATCTGTTGAAACACGTAGACAAAACTAATAAAATTACTCGAGCAAATGGTAGTATGTTACCCAATAATTGTTATTTAGTAATTGTATATTGTGATGTATGGTGTGGTGTTGTTTTACTAGCCTGACTAGCTTTCAATTTCCCTGGTGACAAGCTTTTAATTTTCTCCTTGGCAGAGCTCAGGAAAAATAAAACAACCTATTGACAAGCAAAGCGCATCGGGAATGCGCAAATCGAATTGATTCATTGTTCCACGGACTTCTAATTACGCGGTGATATTTCCTAATCACAGTCATCGTCAGTTTTCTCTGGCGCCAATTCCTGAGTGTTTATACTTTTTATTAAACACAATCATTTCTGATTGGTTTAAGTACTCTTGGTTTTTACTGAAACTTGTTGTGCACAGAAAGAAAGATTTCTTGACTGGAGAACAAAATCCTTGGCTCAAGTAAATTTTCAGTCGCCCGAAGGAAGACTGAAATTGTGTTGGCCTAAGTAAAAATCTTTCTTGAAATTCTATTCTTGGTGGAAGTAATTCTTTTTTAATTCAAATTATCATCATAAATACTTGATACAATAAATTTTTATATTTGATCAAGATTTTTAGATACTTTAGGGAAGCAGCGCCACCTACTTCAGCTGAGAAAAAAATTATCTCATCTTGAGAAAATTTTTCTTTTAAATATTTGATACCCATTTTAGATCATTTTAGCGCGCAATTATACATATTGAATGAAAAAAAATGATTCAATGTTATTTGATCTTCCCATTTGACATGTTAGTCAATAGAAATATTAATGAAAATTTACTATCTAGATATTTAATTTTTTGGAGCAAGAGAGAAATTTTCTCAAAACAAGAAAAATTTTCTTGACTTAAATAAATTGTCTTGGATCAAGAAACGTATTTCTTGAAGCAAGAGAATTGATTTGTTGGAATAAGTGAAATTTCTTGTGTCAAAAAAATATTTTTTTTTCGCCCAAGTAAATAATTATGAAGAAAAATATTTTCTTGGCTCAAGTGAACCTTTCTTTCTGTGTGGATTTTAAAAAATAAGGTTAAAACTGAAACAATCTTTGTAAAAAGATTTGAATTCAAATTTTTTAAATGAAAGAAATGCAATTTGGTATTAAAATTTGTAATGAATGATAAACCATTGAAATTATTTTTTGATTGATCAACTGATTATTTAGCACATGAATTTTTTGCATCCTTCTTTGGAAAACATATTCAATAATACAAAGAATAAACATTTTCTTGGAACCAAAATAACTTTTTTAACGAAACAAAGTGACAATTGAAAATATTGTGATGAAAAGTGAATTTTTAAAAACAAAATTCACAGCTGGTGAGAGTACTAGCAAATAAATGAATCTATTACCCGTTCACGGTGATTAAACGTAAATTAATGCACAATAAAATTAGCATACATTTGAAGTTTAAATTCGCGTTGTATATGCAGAGACTGGTTTCGTCTGAGACGACAAAAAGAACAAAGAATAAACAAAATGAAGTTAAAAAATAAAAGAAAGGGAGTCGAGATAAAGAAAGATACAAAGAAAGAGCTGAGCTTAAGCTTATTTTTTACTTTCACGACGACCTTGCACATCCGACAAGGACCACCGGGTTCCTTGACCTCTTCTTATCCTCTTACATTCGATTCAATTCTGTTCAATACTTTCCTACTTATACTGTACAATGCATTTAATAACGCTCCTTAGTCGAAAATATAAACCGTTTTATTGGTCGACTGGCATCATAATAATAAGGATGATGCTGGTACCCCGGTGAACGCGAAAATGGGCACATGAAAATTAGCGTCTGCGGTTTCTGCTTAAAATGTAAAACAGGAAGAGATGTAAATGATCATACATATATACATACTTGTGTCTATACATTTATATATGTACAGATGTTGAACGAAGAATGAGAATTGAGTGTAGAGGAAACGTTGACCTGTCGTTAAGTAAATCCAGGAATAACGGATCCATGAACGCATCAATGATCAGTATCGTTTACGGAAATCATTAACTTTTGTTGTTTCTTTTGATAAACTTTTATCGGGTCATAAACAAACCTAAAAATACAACCAACTCTTTATACTTATTCACTATAAATTTGTACTAATTTTACATACAAGCGATCGAACTTACACTTGTAACGAGGATTTTTCGCTTTGAGAAAAAGGACTCACTAAATTTTACGTTATTGAGGTTTGACCATACGAAAAACAGCTTGAAAAATTATCCTTTGATTTAGAAAATTTTATGAAGTTAAAAGTTACTCTTTATAGCAAGTTAATTGCTCAAGTAACTTGGAAGATAAAGATATTGGCAATTATAATCATTGAGCAAAAAAATAAAAATATTTGGCATGTAATTGAAGGTTGTGGGCTCGAATCCGGCTCAGGTTATTTGAGTTTTTTTTTATTTTCTTGAAATTCTAGAAAAGAAATTCCTTGTTCAAGAATTTGTTGAAATTAACCATTTAAATCTATTCATTTTTTCATCAATTCGACCAATTTTTCAGACAAAAAAATACATTTCCAGTAATCATCAAGAATATATGTTCTTGTGTCAAGAAAATTTTCTTAACAAAAGTATTTTTTCTCTCAGTGTATGAATTTTGTAAATATCCTTATTAAAAAAAACCAATTTAAAATTATTTGAATTGACTACTGTATAGATATACACTCTGCATGGATTGAACTAATTTTAAATTGTTTTTCTTCACAAGAGTAATGTCTTTTCTCATTTCCTTTTTTTACATTTTATTAACCAATAAACTCTGCTGTATTGTTTTCAGGTCTAATGATGGAGTCAGAGAAGAAAATATTTGAAATGATGAATAAAAAAGCAGCGATGTCGAAGTACTGGATGCCCTTGGTATGGGCGACCAACATAATAAATCGCGCGAGAAAAGAGGCTCTAATAACGAGTGATCACGTTGTTCAGACGCTTCTGGTGGAACTGAGTGACATCAGGAAACGTCTTGGTGCTCTCATTGGTTATGACACTGTCTGCGTTCCTCTGGTTTACACTCAGGTGAGTTACCTATGCACTTGTAACATATTAACTTGCTATGTACCGATGCAACAGAATCTCATTTTGTCTCGTCTTGCATCTATAAAATCAAGGCTCTATTCTTATTCCTTTTTTTCTTCACATACTCGTTGGAAGAACATTAAGACATTTTTTGCATTAGTGAAGAGTCATTTCGTTGCGTTATTCATAAATAATTGGCGCTTCTTCAATTGTTGATTAAAATTATTTTTCGTGCATAAGTAATTACTTATTACATTACACATTATTGAGTTTTTTTTGCATTAAACATTTATCGTTAGTTAAAAGTGGCAATATATCATCAAGTTTATGAAAAAAATACGCAGTTTGTATTCGGCGTTATCCGACTTGTTTGAATATTAATAAAATAAATTAAAATAATTATCAAACTATTGTCTATTTTGAATAAATAGCTGTATTGCGACTTATTTTTTAGACGCCAGATCATCTACCTGCTGTAATTAAATGAAACGTACCAACACTAACACATTGCATTACCACGTATTATAATACAAAGTATTGTAAGCAAACTTAAGACTTGAGACTTGTCTTTTGCTTGCGTGGTGACACGTACTTCCGTTGATCAGGCAACGAACAGCAGGCATTTCGATAATTATTTAAACAATAAACTTATTAACCTCTTCAAGGTTTTTCCGTACTGATTGTCTTCAGTTGATGAGTAAAAATTGTCAGTAAATTATTAAATATCTGGTATGTGTTAATCATTATTATCATTTGATGATTCCCCGGAAAAGTAATGAATCTGCAGTTACGAGATAAGACGAGAAGATGATGTAAAAGAGGGAGGTATGCGCGTGTATTGTGCAACGGAAATTGTTAAATTGTTCATCAGCTAACCAACCTAATGTAATACCCGGGTCGTGGCATTATTTTCAGAGGCGCCGAAGAGACGGCGTATAATTCGAGCGCTGCTGGTACGTGACCAACTAAACACGTGTATCTTTTAATGTTACACGGCTTCTGTTGTCATTGCTGTTTGTTAGTTGTTATTTAGCTATTTCTACAACTTATTTTACCTGATATGTAAAGTAATAATAGTTGGATTTATCTTCTCGCTAGTCAAAGTCCAATTATTATTTTCATAGACTATACACAGTAAAAAATTTTGCGTCATTGCGTCAAAAAACTTAGTGTTAAAATTTTATGATTAAATATTGACACACTTTTATGTAGAAATTTAATATAAAAATTTTTAACGCAATGACGCAAAATTTTTTACTGTGTACGCAATTTTCATAGTAAAAATGTAAAGATTTAATGAACTTAAATTTTAAATTGAGTTTAATAATTTTATTTTCTTTTAGTGGAAATTTTTATCAAGATTATATAATTAAAATCAAATGTTTAGATATAATTTAATCGAATTAAGATTTTTTTAATTCAGTCGAAATTTTTCTGCATTGAAATAAATTTAGACTAAATTTAACAAAAATTGCAAATTTATTTAATGCTAACTTGAAATCTCAATAAACTAATTTCATATTTTGATAGAAAATTTTTTTAATAAGATGAGGTCAAACATTGAATTTGTATCAAAAATTTGGCTGCCAATTTAACGTAAAAATCTATGAAAAATAAAATATAATCGAGATCGAAGCATTTAATTGACATCGCTCAGTAAAAAAAAAAAAGTAAAATGCATTGTCCATAAAATGTATACAAAAAACACTTGTCTGTTGGTGCAAACAGCCAGCATTGACGTAGTTGAAATATAATATTCTTATACCAAAACTAAATACTTCACCATCGCGCATGTGTGTAAATCATTTTTATAATAAACGAGTTAACTAACCTAAGGAGAAAGTTTATGGTTAAAATAAATAAATAAATAATAAAATAAATAAATTTTAAAATACTGTGCACGTGGGTGCATGGACTCGGAGGAATCGTGACCGGTTATATCCTTCTATTGTTCGGCAAAGGCAAATCAAGTTTACACGCGGCTGAAATCGAAGAAAAAGAGGAAATATTATTTTTATTGGAATTAAATAGTATACGGCCGATCCCGGAAGTTAATGAAATCGAAACTTGTATCCTTAATCCTTGAGCTAACATTTCATTCGCAAATAACCAATGTACATACACACATACATAATATATTGTATATAATATATATGTTTGCAAATATCTCAACAAGTTTGTTTATTTTACAGGTAGTAACATTGTCCTTGTACGCGTACTTTTTCTCCGCGCTACTGGGCCGTCAGTTTGTCGTTCATTCTGTGGGAGCTGGAAAGTACGAGGAGCCGGACATGTATTTCCCCGTTTTCACGACACTCCAGGTAATGTTTTTATTTATCAATAAATATTATTAAATATTCAAGTTAAATAGTTGAAATTCATGAGTAAGAAATTGAAATGTCAAACAAGAAAGGTCACGTTGATTGTTTGATACAATAAAGTAATAAATGCGCGCGAGAATAATTGCATAATTGACTTGAAACTCGCAACTGCAGAGTTTATGAAATAGTTCAACGATTTGTAAAATTGTATTAATTATCACCTGGAATGTCGCTTATCTTTTATTAATGCCCACAGTTTTGCTTCTACGTGGGATGGCTTAAGGTTGCCGAGGTGCTCATTAATCCGTTCGGAGAGGACGATGATGATATTGAACTTAACTGGCTCATTGACCGTCATATTAAGGTATTTATTGTTCCTAACTATCATCGATATTTTGTTAACTGTAACTATATTATTATTACCTTTGCTGGCTCTTATTTACTTATAGCATATTTCATAATTTATATAATATACAAGAGAAAAATAAATATTTATTACCGTGTTGAGTGAAATCTCGTGGAATAGACTTAATAAAACTCTGCTTCTTGTTTACTGTTTTCTCGTGTCTGTAATAAAGAAATAAACAACATAAATTATTAGCTCACAAGGTGTTGATTTTTCATTAAAATAATTCAATGGTTTTATTACTTAGTTTGAAATTTAAATTAGATAATAATATAAATAAATAAAATTTTAAACCTTAGGTTGATATTGTTAGCAAGAAATTATTGTAAAAAAAATTTTTGATGAGGAATTACTTTTTTGTGATTTTTAAAATTTAGAGGTCAAAAGTTATTATTCTCCTAATTTAAATGACAATTATTACTTCCGTACCTATGAGATAATTTTTGTTATATAATTAATACTATCAATAAAAAAAAATAATTTGTAGAAAAAAAATCTAAAAAATTTATCAATATTTATGTTATAAAATTTATTAAAAAAAAAAAATTAAGTTGTCTTTAAAAATAATTAAAATTAATTGGTGTCTAGTTACTAAATTAAAATTGTAAATTATCAAAAGTTCATGTAATGTCACTTTTTTTTCTATTTACTGTCGGTCTACGATAATTACATAACGATTAATCATAATTTATGGATGCTATAATACCGATTTAATTATAAAAATTCAATTAAAGACTGAATCATGCTAATAAAAAGTAATTATTTCAGGCTAGCTATATGATTGTCGACGAAATGCACGAAGAGCATCCAGAGCTCCTGAAAGACCAGTACTGGGACGAGGTAGTGCCAAAAGATTTGCCATACACTGTCGCAAGTGAACAATACCGTCGCGAAGAGCCAAAAGGCTCGGCAGAGCACTACAAAATAAAAGAGAGCGATGCCTTGTACGCAAATGTAATGCTGGGATCGCAGATGCACAGCGTAAACCAGCACAGAAAAGTTCATCAGGATGACGTGTATGCCGATTATGTAAGTTCGGGCAATTATGATAAATACTGATGAATAAAGATGATGTATTATTTTATTTATTATATCCGATAATGACAATAAATATGAATACTTATGCATATTTATGTGTAGGAGAGTGTCGATACGCCTTTGGTTGAAAGGAGGAAAAATTGGCTCCAACGTCAGATCAATCGCATGGGCTCTGTTAGAAGTTCCTCTACTACTTACAGCAGCAATGGAGGCTTCTTTACACGCAATCGACACAATAGTGTCTACAGCAGTCCAGAAAATGGAGTTTTACCTCAAATTCACTCTAATTCCAATAACAAACCCTCGTTTTATGATAGAATGGTTGGAAGAAAGAGCATGAGAAGCCAGCGGATGAGTCGACAAGGTATTATAGTTATTTATTGTTACTTTAATCAGGATTGCAAATAATATATTAATGGATGAAAAATTTTAACAAGATTTGAAGATTAATTAATATGCATTAAAAAAAATTAGATAGCTAAAAAAATTTTTTTTATGAAATTTAATTAGTACATTTTTTTAAAAATCGAAAATTGCAATAATTTTACTTTAAAGTTTGCAGTAAATAAATTTTTCAAATTTTTATACATTAGTTATTAAATAATTTTAATTACTTTAATTATAAATAATTTAAATCTGTTTCTTAAAAAAAAAAAAAAATTTTTTATATGAATTCAAAAAACTATTCAAATTTTTTTTAGATTGTTTTTGTTTTTAATTTATAAATAAAATGATTTTATCTATCCGATTTTTGTATTATATAATCGATAAAATTTAATTTAAATAAAAATGAACTAATTTAAAAATAAACAATTTGCAATTCTAATTATAAATATAATTAATACTTAATATTTAAATAATTTTATGACATAAAGTGTGATTTGACAATAATTCTAACAAACTAAATAAATTTCAGGAACAATGACAAAACTAAATTCAGTCCCAGTATCTTTGAAAAATCGACCAAGAATCCCAACACCGGATGTGACAAAGGAAGTTGTAGATCGCGAACAACGACTAGCTTTATCTGCTAATAACACAGCAAACATCGGAGCAGGAGTAGTGGGAGTAATCCCCGCGAATGGAACATATTCATCAGACGTCCCGACAGTGGTTCACGTTGTTCTGTCCCCAATCGCAGAGACAGAAAACAATCAAGCGTCAGGAAAAGGCGGAACTGCTACTCTAGCCCAAGCAGTTTTGTCTCCAACGCTAACTTCTGCGGGAATAGTAACTCCAGTGACTCTGACACCTGTCACGATGAGCCAGTTGACCCAGCTGGGGATAGTGACAACCGCATCTTCGCCAATGCCGCGAATCAACAACGTCCAGACGCCCAGCAACAATTCTCTCGAAGAGAGAACAACATTGACAGAAGTAAACAGCATCGAGGAGGAAGAAAGGTCCACCGAAGGAAGTAGCATAAATTCTCAGAGCACGGCGACCACCGTCGAGCAGCAAAACGACGAAGACTCTGAACTGGATGAGGACGAGAACGATCGCTCGACCCCGATGATTGGCGAGCGTCAAAGTCCCACTGGTGGGAGCCACGGAAGCACTCCGACTTTTGACTCCTACAACGAACGCTCGGCCATTCTGATGAGCCCGGACAAACTCGGCGGGTACATTGTCAACCCGGTATCGGAGATTCAGCAGAAACAGAGTAATTTAGACGCTCGAGGCAGACGATCTACTTCTCTGCCTTGTCCTCCAGCCAGTATGCTACGTGATGATCGCAGTAATTCGTTACCTCACTCGCCTGCGATTCCTGCTGTAAATAAACACGTTAATCCGGTGATAGGTGGGTTGAATTCTCTCAATTTGGACGGCAGGCAGAGGACGGGGAGTATTGGCAGAGAGCTCACGAGGTCTAGAATTCACGAGCCTCATCGACGCATCAGTACACCTGCTAGTACCAATTCTAATATATTAGCTGCTAATAGTAATGTTACAAGACAGAATTTGCCTGATAATAATCGCGATGAAGTATATGTTTGATTTACTTTAATTTACATACTCAGAAGAAGTGAAGATGACATTTTAGGTTTTGAATTTGAGTCAGTGTCTGTTAGGTTAATGTAAATATTATTTATCAATTTTGTTTTATTGATTTCAACGCAGTGTCATGATATTTTTATTGTGATACGGCCGAGGATAATTGAATTATATTTTATTGATAAACTGTATATAAATATATATACTATTATTATTATTATTATTATTATTATTAATATTTTAATGTTTTATTAGATAACTTAGGCCTGACCTGGTGATTAAGGTCTCGATGCCATAATTATTTATTCGAGATCTTCGGATAGCCGAAATAAGTCCGGAATTTTTTACCACGAGCCATATTTTAATTGTTATTAAATAAGACGATTTTATGTTTAGATAAATGGAATGAGAAATAACTGACAGTATTTGTTGTTTAAGTTAACAAAATTGGCTGGTGCTCGTAGTATGTGTAATTATACTTAAATTTATAACTTGTTATTATTATTATTGATTATTTACTTATTATTTTTAATATTATTAATCTACTTGTGATAGATTAATTGATGAATCAATAGCTCAACTGTTGAAGCAATTTTATATGTAGTCTAAGTATGTTATTGTTTATTATTAAGATATTATTAATTTCATAAACTTGTTAATTCATCAACTTATCGGTTGTGTGCAATCAATATATAATATTAATTATTTAATTAAATATTTTATCCAAGATAACATATCCCACGATAACTTGCCCGAAATACATGAACGCAGTCAATCGTGATTATTATTAATATTACTATTGTAATTTTATATAAGTAAATTTTATCATAATATACCAGTATTTATATTTAAGATCATAGTAATGAATAAATTATATTTAGTTAAAATTTAATTAATTATGTAAAAAAGAAAATTTTACTGGGCTTAGACGATTAAAAACAATAAAATTTATGAGAAAAAAAAAATGTTTACCTTTATTTTGGCCTTCTCTTTAATTTTGGAAATTTATATCCAGCTTCTGTAAATTTAAATACATTAATCATTATTAATTGAAAACTTTTTTAATCCATTAAATTAATATGTTTATTGTAAAACATAAAAATTATTTTTATAATCATTTAGATAGTTAAAAATTTGATTATAAATATTTACCTTTAATTATAAATAAAATCTCTAAAAAAATTTTTATTGTTCAACTCTGAATGCAAGTTGAACTTTTTTAAATTTTTCAACTCCGAGAACGCGCGCGCATTTCGACCGTAGCGCCACTAACGACCTAAACACTGTAACGAATTCCACGAAAAAGAAGATTGAAAGACACTTTTAAACACTTACTAACAGTTTAATATAAAATAATCTACAAAACTAATGACTTTTTATTAAACTACAATTTGTAAATTTTCTAGATAACCAAAAATTAAAATTTATTACTCGAATGAGGAATCACTATTTCAAACGACAACAAACGTCACATCTCACGCTGTGTATAAGATTCTGAATTTATTTTTATTCATATTCACTTTAAATATCCTCTACACCAACAAAATAAATATTTAAAAATATTCCTGAGAGATCCAAATAGAGTTTACAATAAAAAATTCCATTAATATCGACAAACAAATTGTTAATTTATTAATTAAACGGTGAGCGGAAAAGAGTGTGTTACTGACATGGCAAGCGAACGACGTTTGAGACTTGCGATTGCGGGGGGTCATCTGAGTGATCCGAACGGAAATGTAGCCAATGTAATAATTGTAAAGAAATTCAAAAAGTAACTTGCTCTCTAACAAGTTATATACATTTAATACTTCATACATAACACTTAATATATGTCAAATAATA